GAGTCAAACACGTGCTTAATAAACGACGGTTCGTAACAATAGTATTAGTAAATCGTTCTGGATAATTGAAATTCATAGGTTGGCTGCATTTCTGGGCCCTAACTTTATTCGCAGAAGCATCGGTGAAGGCCTGATGGATTTTCGGAGTTTCACATCTGTCCATACTCTCGCTATACAGGTACTCTAGATGTTAGCGATCTGGACTAATCTGTGCTGTGGAGGCCTAAAATACGGGAACCAATCAGAAATGGATTCAAATTGTCTTGACTCTCAGTATAATTTTGGGACTCTAGGTTCAACGGGAAAAAAGTCTAGAAGTTTTTTCATTTCTGCGATTCGAACTTGGGAAAAATCTCGTGGTTCGTCCCGTGGAGACAAGAAGTATTAAGTCACCCCCCCCCCCCCCCNGTATTCAATTTTTCATTTTAAGCATTTAAAATGAGTTTAGAGCAAGAAATGTGTAAAAATTAAGAGGACAAGTTGAAATCAAATTTCCGTTCGCCGCCATGGATTCCCGCGCTTATTTACACACTCACACAAACGCAGAGCGTCAGGGCTGCATCACTTTTCCCCCGTGAGTGCTCCGTCTGCGTCTTGATGTCTTTTCTCTATACCAGATACTCACAGTAATTTGTGTGATTTGTATACTGCCAGTTTAAGGTTATGTGTCGTATTGGTTAGTTTGTTACCGCTCCTATTCATAGGCCACTATTCATCAATGGAATTGCCCTCAGTGTAGCAGAGCAAGTAAAACAATTTTACCAAAATTTGTTGAACTATGTGATATCCCTGTCTCATTCTTACACAGCATTTACATACGCAAATAAGACATTCGTTAGTCCCTACAGAATCATTCCATTACATCTTCCCCTTGTTATTGTGGTGTCTCTCTCCGAGTATTGCCATTATTTCAGACAGTTCGCAGATCACATCCTCTCATTTAACATTTAGTGACATGGCTGCTCTACCAAGGAGAATCATTAAAGAAACTCAACGTTTGCTGCAAGAACCAGTGCCAGGCATAAGTGCCATCCCAGATGAGAGCAACGCCAGGTATTTTCATGTTATCGTAACTGGACCAGAGGACTCACCATTTGAAGGAGGCTCTTTCAAACTTGAACTGTTTCTCCCAGAAGACTATCCAATGTCAGCCCCTAAAGTAAGATTCATTACTAAAATTTATCACCCGAACATTGATCGCCTTGGCAGAATATGTTTAGACATTCTAAAAGATAAATGGAGTCCTGCACTTCAAATACGCACCGTTTTATTATCAATTCAAGCACTTTTAAGTGCCCCTAATCCTGACGATCCTTTAGCAAATGATGTTGCTGAATTATGGAAGGTTAACGAGAGCGAGGCAATAAAGAATGCGAAAGAATGGACCCGCAAGTACGCCGTGGAAAATTAAATTGGCTAAATAGCAATGTATCAGCTGGCATTGTTTGTAATGAACACTAAGCCTGCTACATTCTAAATGGATATTTTTTATTTTGTAAATAGAAACGCTTTTGTTATCATGTAAAATTTAGCTAACAAAGATTCAAATAATTTCTCGTGACCCAGTTAGTAGCAGAGGCCTTTCTCAAACCCTTCTCATTCCTTTTTACTGCCAGCTCTTGTCATCTCATGGAGGGATCTGGATGAATAAATGTTCAGTAAGAGCAACTGTTTATTATGAGCTGTAGGTGCAAGACCAACTGTACAGAGTTAGGTAGTTAAATTTTAGAACATAGTGAGTATAAGATACGACTCCTTCATACTTTTCCCCCCTCTCTTTCTCCCTCTCTCTCTCCTCCCCCTTTCTCTCTCTTTCTCCCTCCCTCTCTTTTTTCTGATTCAAAACTGAAACATGTATTAGAACAGCAGAAACTAGTTTCTCAATCTGACCAGTAATAAAACGTTAACCTCCCAGACAATCGTATGTGCAGTATTAACATCAAATTGTATCATTCTCGTTTGGTGTTAGTGCAATGTGCACTAATTTGGACTCACAAAGTTCAGATAGAGTTTAAGCTTGTGGCTTTATGAATTGAAATTTTTTCTGTCTTGCTTTCCCTGGCTACAACTGGGGAAAGAAAAGAATAGACCAATGTCACATACAAAAATTGCACGATGTAACAGAGCTACATGCTAACCAATGGGCCAACTGATGATTTATGCATTCAGACTGATGTGACTTTTGTCTAGGTATTCTTTTCTTTCCCTAGTTCCAAGGTTCCATTCCAATTCCAGTCACTTAAGTTCATTTATCATGTTATCAGGAGCTCATTCCAATATAATAGTTGTGTTTGTGTACATTGCATATACACTCCCAACAAAGAAATTGATGCTACCCCAAATATTTCTCTTGTAATGAGGCTAATTGCTCTGGACAAAATTCTGTCACCAAGTGTCTTCCAAGATTTTCTCACTCAATTTTTTGTGCTCAATGCTACCATTATAATGCTACCACTATTAATTGAGTATTTCCTTTAATCTTTTTGTCCATATTTCATAAGACTTACAATTTGATCTTGTAGTACACCTATTTCAGTGACTTGGTAGCTACAGAAGACGGGGAGCAAGAAAATTCCAATTGTTTGTTTTATTATAAAATTTTAAAAGTTAAATTTTCATCTAAGGGCATGAGAGATGCCTACTCTTGTCTGAAGCCGGGGTCAAATTCCAAATTACCTTCGCCATCAAAATCTTGGGGACCTACTTTTTCATTCAGTGGAGCATTCCTACGATAAGTCTATAGAGTCTGATGCAGTCATTTACAATAAAAATGTTTCACGGTTTTAAACCAATCATGATGTACTAATTAACACCTCGGCAAATTCAGATGAAACTGCAGCAACGCTTAAAAACTGATGATGTTTATGTATCATGTGTTAGTGGCCAAGGGAGATGAAGATTCCAATTTTTCAAGGAGAATATTATTACAACAAAGAGTAATTTTTTTTGCTAATATTTTTACTGCTTACCTAAAGGCTTGGTCTTTATTTTTGTGTACTCACAGAGATAGAAGTTTTTTCTTTCTTCCTTTCTTTTCTTTGATTTTTGCAGTACACGAACGGAAAGGTACATCAGTTTTATCCAGAGTCTTTCTCTTTTGTTTTCTGATTTTCAACCAATTCCTAAATGAGGAGACCAAGGAGGCTCCTATTTAGCTTGGGTATTCTAAAATTATCATCGTCCATCAATGAAATATAATCAATATGTATGATGTAAATGTTTTGGCTGAAATAAAATGAATAAATCATATAAAACTCTTTTCTGTGCCATTAGTCCAATAGAATAATCTTGACGTTCAGCAAGAGTTATGACTTTTGCTATGTGGACTGGTAAATGAGGCTCTCCCCGTAACACTGGCAGTTGTCAAGTTCTTAAGATTTGATAAAATGGCCCCTGAAGTTTGTAAAGTAATGCACCTACTTAGCAAGATGAAGAGGGTTTGCTTAGGCGAGTTTATCGTAGAACAAATTCTTCTCTAATTAATGGTTTTAAGAACTTAAAGTTTGAAGGAATAGTTAGTAGGTTGCAGTGAATTTTAAATGAAAGGCACTGTCTGCTGTTTTTACAGAGAATTTTCTTTTATGCTTAAAATAAAGTCATGAGGTAGGATAATGGGGGTGAAAGATTTGAAAGGATCAAGAATTGGGTTTATTCTGAATCTTAATAAACTTAAGTGAACAAGCAAACCCTAGGTAACTTTCGAGATAAAATAAGGAGCATATTGTGAAATTAGTCTTCTGAAATTGGAATGAGATTAATTCTCTGTCCTGTAACTGAAGGAAAAAGATTGAAAAAGTGATTAACTCCCAGCTGTGTCTTTCCAATAATGGTGAGGAGGACTGTGTAGGCACGTTGAATTTCACGATGGCAATGAGGATGGAAGATTCGCCTCCACGTTGTTTTTACATCTGCTTAAATCAAGAAGTCTAAAACTTTGCAGAAACACCCTTCAATGTCCAAGAATTTTTAAAAAGGCGTTTTTCGTGAAAATGGCGGAAGTTGACATCTGCCGCTGTTACAGATATGGCCCCAGATTAGTCCAGTAAACGAAGGCATAAGGTGAAACCACCAGTTACAGACACCCCCAAAAATGTGACCAGTTATAGACACCCTTCGTCTAAATATGGTAATAATAAGAAAGAAGTGACTCGGTTCTTTGTGTTGTTGTTTTTAATTCAACTCACTTGAGAATGTGGGTTGAATTAAAACAACAACACAAAGAACCGAGTCACTTCTTTCTTATTATTACCATATTTAGACGAAGGGTGTCTATAACTGGTCACATTTTTGGGGGTGTCTGTAACTGGTGGTTTCACCTTAT